TGAGTGTTGAGTCCCATACAGAACACCATGTCTTTTTAAAAGAGTACCCAACAAGTTCCTAGAAGGAGACAAAACTTTATTAGTAGTTACATAAATGTAGTAATTTCATCTCAGAAATGGTTCCGGTTACAATACATTATCATTTGCAATAAGTAACATTTTCTAGAAACAGGTTCCTACTATAAATTCTGTATCAGCTCACCCATCCACCCACAGGGAGAAGTGCTTCCATACAGAGACCAGCTACTGATGTGCAGCTCATCTGCACTTGATTCGTAGCCTGCGCAAGAGAAAAAGTCATTTGCCTTTTCTCCCTTCCTTTTTGGATTTTATTTCTAAGCTTTAAGATTCACCCCCTTGCCTTGGGGAGTTGAGGACCCAGAAGGTATGTGAAATGGGTTGCCCTTTGCTGCAGATGTATGGGATTAGTGTTCTAGTTAGGGATCAACGATAAGCAAAAGCTGATGGTAAGAAACTCTAATTCACCTCTATGCCATTTCCCTTCTTCTAGAGGAAGATTTCCCTCTCTCAAACCTCACACAAACAGCTCAGAAGACTAAAGCAGCTGCCATTTTATTTCCACCATCCCAAAGCTCCAGCTGACCACAGCCCATTATCAGTATATTGAGGGGCAACACTAGCTTCACTTGAGGCTTAAAACAGGAATAGGAAGTTTACCTAAGATGTCAGTTATTTCAAGAACACCAGAACTGTCTAAGGAAAGTTTAAATTCGGCATAGAGAACACACACATGCACTCACTCTCACTGTTAGGGTCACACAATGTTAAGTTCCTTGCATGTGTGTGCACTTCTGTTTGCTCACAAGAGACCAAGAAAAAAAAAGGAAAATTAGTGTCATATAAGCAAACACAGCTGACAGCACAAAACAAATGCTTGAGGGAGACTGCTAGGATTCTGTTTACATAAAAGGATGCAGTTGAAAATGTATGCTTACCCATGAAACAAGAATAACATTTTTTTCCCCTCCCCAAATAAACAATCCCCTGCAATTAGACCATTCACATTTTGTGAATTTGAATTTCTCAGCAATCTACTTCGGTTAATATGAGAGGTTGAACCATAGGACAGAATTTGGATGTGCATCTCAGCAGATATGCCAAGGTAAAATTTGTTTTGTACTGAAGTAGTATTTTGGTTAAGAAAAATTAAAAACACAAGGCAATGGCCTGTGGGCAGCGTGGCTGTTTTGTGCTGCATACACACCGCGCTGAGTGCCAAACCGTTCAATGCCTCAGGCAGTAATGGTAAGGAAGTTTTTTTCCAGAATATACTCTTTCCTTAAAATGCAAACGAAGGCAGGCCCTTTTAAATAGCTGAACAATCTCTGCTCGTGCACGCATCAGCAAAACCAAGATGCAAATGAAAATCCAGCACCTACATCAAGGTGATGAGTCACTGCAAGTATCAGCACACTGCCTTCAAAGAGAGGCAGCATCTTACCAGTGCCAAACTGAATTTATTTATTTTCAGTGGACTCCAAGACACACAGGACAAGCTACATCTGGTTTTCTCTGCTTTTCAGTGCAGATGAGACTGCTGAGGATATCCGCCATCCCTATCTCACAAAGAAGCTGCCAGCAGTCTTTCTGTACATGAAGGAAAATGGTACGTGGAAGTAAATGTGAGGACTGAGAACCTGCTTCAAACCCATCATAACCCAAACCAGAAGGCTAGCGTCAGAATTGTACCACTGTGTTTGCACCTTAACAGCCAGTTTTCTAACCCTTTCATTCCAGCTACGACCTGACATTCTGCAAAAAAGCCACAGCTCTAGAAATAAAAATTATGCTGAATCAAGATACAAGGCTTGCTATAGTCTCTTCTAAATTCCTGACAAAATCATGCTTGGCCAAGTGATGCAAACATGCCGTATCACAAATTCACGGAGTCAGAAACCATTATTTTCAACTTCTGGGCAAGTTTCATATTCAGAGCAAGCCTGATCTTATGCAAGAGTAATGCCTTCTCCTTCCAAGGAGGTGGAAGAATCAAACTAGTAGAATTAGAAGCAGGTCAAAAATTTAAACTGTATTCAGCTTTCGAAAAGTAACTAAAATACTGTTAGCAACGAAGACGTCAAAGCGTCATCTAGAGAACAGAATTTAGTAAGCAACGTCCACTTGCTAGGGCCTTATGCAATAAGCAATTGTCCAATGTTTCTTTTTGAGAGTGAGAAATAGCCAAATCATGCATACGTTCTCATGGCACATGAAGTTACACTGATCAAAGATCTGAGCCCACAGTGTGTGTGCGCATGGGAGGAGGAATAGCCCTGGGAATTCCGCAGCATTGAGGAAAGCAGGTTTATGATGCCTGTAGTTGTTTTACTAGAGACTCAGTCTTTACTGATTTGTTTTTTGTTTTTTTTTGTTTTTTTTTTTTTTTTAAAAGCAACCTCAACTTTAATTCCTTGAAAGACCAACCTCCTAGGCTTCAGCACCAGCTTTAAAAACATAAAATAAACCCAAAACACACAAGTGACTGACTTTACAAAACTGAAGGATGCTGCTGACTGCACTGACACATCCTAAAAGATAAAGGCACACTGGATACAGTATTTAGCAGAAGCATTAATGGTAGAATGGCCAATACAAAGTTGTAGTTGCCTATACAACTTTTTTTTTTTTTTAAGTGCATGTTTCCAAGAGCGTAATTCCTGCTAGAACATTTTGGGAATTTGTACAGAATGGATTAAGCCCAACATTTTGATTTAAAAAGTGGGAAAGAAAAAAAAAAAGTATTTTGAGTGGGCCTTAACTTTCTTCAGGAATGAAGTGAACATCGCATTGTTATGTGAACACATGTGGAACATAATTTGAAAGACATCAAAAGCTGACTTTGCTTTTATTGACCAAGTTATTCAAAAATATACACACACACACTAAAGAAGGGGAAGGGTGAAATAAAGTATATTTGTTTCAATAAATAGCCTAAAACCCCCATACACAGAGTTACAACTTGGCTTCCAAAGAAAGCACATCATGCCATTTATACTGCATCTTGCTGGTGGGTACAGGCAAACCATGGCAAACACTTGCATTAGCCCTTTTTAGCTCTTCACAGCCGCTCCCACCACTCTGACTCCTGCAGCTACACTTGGCTCTCCAGAGAAATGCAGGGCTGGGCACAGGATAAATGCTCCTTAGTGCAGGGACTGTTGCTGGTTGCATTTGAGGAACAGAGGTGTGAAACCAGTTATGAGCATGCCACATTGCTGCAACATTTGCCTCAGACTGATTGTTTCCAACCTAAACAGTTTTTCTGACTTTTGCCCAACTCCATTAACAAGAGAAGCACAAAAGCCAGTGTTCAACCCAACCACTCTGTTGTGCTGGATTTCTATGGAAGGATGAAGAAAGCCCCAAAATTCTCCACCAAATTATTCCTCATGATGGAGGTGGGCTATGTCCCCTCCCTGACCCTCCTGATCTGCTCCCCTTGATCTCTTACTGCTCCACCCTTCTCTGTTAATGGGTTCTCCACCACCAGATTTAAAAAAAAAAAAAAAATTTAAAACAACTTCTGTCCAAAATGCTCCCAGTGGAATGTTTTCTACATCAGAAGGCATCATTCCTCCAGCTCAGCCCGACTCCAGCCCATCATTAAGGATTCCCAGGAAAGGCTGACATCGTGGCCAGACAGTGCCACTGATGCAGATGCCCCCATAAGGCCGGCTTACGTCTAAGAGCCAGCTCTTCAGTTTTGGATTTCAAAACCAGTATTGGGGACATGGCTTTAAAGCCTAACAACCACGTTATAAAGAAATCATCCAGACTGCAAACATGAGAACTCCATCACAGCTACCCTTCCCAAACACCTAAAGGGATCTCTTCAGGCCAACATATCTAGTCACTGGATAGCCACAGAGGAAAAAGTAAAACAATCTAATGTTCAAGCCAAAACCTTCCTCAGTACCAATTCCTGTTAAACCTCCTTCTCCACACAGGGTACTTCGCCACAAGTGTTTCACTACACAAATGCCTGGCACATTCTTCAGCTGAGCACTGAGGCTGACAGATGCAAATTCAGCTGAGCTGAGAGTTCAATCTTAAAAGGTCCAGAGCTCTTTAAAAGTGCTCTCTAAGCAAAAGGTGGTTTGGGATGCTCACAATGCTTCCGAAGGTGCATCGCACTGAGTCCTTCCTGCCTTTCCACTGCTGTTTCCTGGCTGGACATGGCAGACTCCAGAAAGCTGAAGCACCTTCATCATTACATAAGCAACCTAAGGCTGGACTTCCCTGCTGGCACCGTACTTTCTATGGAAATACAGGGAACATGGCCTCCTACAGGACACAGATGTATCACATTACATCTGATTAAGTGCAACTGCCAAATTGTAAACTTCGGTTAAAAACAAAGAAATTTCCATCTGATGAGCACTACCCTAGAAAAGGAAGTCAAAGAGCACAGCCAGATAAATACAATGCACTGAAAATGCTCTGTGTTCCCAATCTAGACTGAAAATGAAGATGTAGCCTGTGGTCACATATTGCTCTCTACACTTGTAAGAGAATTTATCTATATTGGCTTTCACTGTTCTAGGTCAGCATCATAATCACACTGCTGCTGCTTCTCTTTCTTCTTCTTCTTCACAGAGAGAGAGAGAGAGAGACAGACAGACAGAAGCACAAGACACAAATCTGTATGCATCTCAGTTACCATTGTTAGTAGCACAACAGCCCTGGCTAGTTTTGTAGCAGCGATACAGGAAAAAAGGCCTTCAGAACTTCAGACTAACATTCAGCATGGAACATACAAGAAATAAGATGTGCTTTTCCTTGTTCCTATAACAGTGACAAGAGGAGTTAGCTGACCATCTAATCCTTCTTCCTTCCCTCCCCTAACTGTGCCAGAAGTTTACCCTTTCATCTGCAATTAGTTGATATTTTAGGAAGCTTTTGGTTCTGGAAAGAGAGAGGTGGGCTAACATATTTCAGATGTGTTGGACCAGGTGTTCTGTGCTTTTACCCTCATTCAGTTATCTGTCTTTGGAGCCATAGTTGAAGGAAACTCCATTTCTGATGGATCCGTTCATGAGGGTTTTAGGATTCTCTCTTTCAATCTTTTCTCTGCTGAAGATAGTGTCCTGATCGCTGTCAAACTCTGACTCGGAGACCATCAGACTGGAGTTGTGTTCTGTACTTCTGTGTTTTATACCTGACAACGTGAAAGCAAAACAAGCTCATTAGAAAGGTTTCACTTTTTAGTACCAACTAACCATCCTCTCCTCTGCTGTGATATGAAAGATAAGTGAAACCATTCTCTGCAATCCAGCGTAACAGCGTGCACCACTGTCACCGCTGATATAAAAACTAGCCTAGGAGGTATCATATACTGTCGGACAGACTCTTCTGACTTCACTACAGGCCCATCAGTTTATGGCTCTGAAATGTGAATATATGCATTTAAATTTGAAACAGCTAGATAATTTTAGTACATAGCTAATATACTTTTAATAGCTTGAATCTGAAAATTAGTCTGTCCATTCAATGATCTGATTAACATGAGTGGCAATGACAGGTCATAGTCTCTGCAGAAGTGTTATGTCTGTCTTCTAGGACAGTAACTTCTCAGGATTATTTTATTTCCCTGGATTACAATATTTCCCCTGCTAAAAACTGAAACTCGGGTAAATCTAAACATATGTGAATAGAGGGTAGCAGCTTAAGTCTACTGATGTTTAAGAGGGTGCTTATGAGCCAGGCGGGAACGGCAGTGCAGCAGTAAAAACATCTCCAAATCAAAGGCTGTGCAGGGGAGGAGAGGTTAGGTGGAGAAAATCTGTGGGACAAATTATATGTTCCAAATTAAGATTAACGAAGACGCTCAGAGCAGTGGCTGAGCCCAAGGCCTCATGAAAGAAATGAAGTGATTCTCCTCCAACCATTCCACTGTCTAGGGCTACCTCTGCCATTCCCAGACTTGTAGCTCCCAGACTGGGCTCCTCCTGACTGCGGGTGTCAATTCAAATACATTGAACTGTAAGCTTGGTGGATGAGCTCCCAGCTCAAGCAGAGAGTACTTACCATATTTGGGTCGTAGCTCCATTCTCTCCTGCTCATCTATGTTATCTAGGATGGTATATTTTGTTTTCTTTCTTATCTTTGTCCTCTTTCTGCTAAAAAGAAAGTTACCACAAAGACACTTAGTTCTCATGTACATACATAAATCCGCTCCCTCTCCCTTTTCACACACATAGCTACATACCCCAGTATATGGAACCTCATTGTACTTTCTCATCTCCACATAAAAACAAAGTTGTTCCAATGTACACCTGTATAATGCACCTGTACAATCTGAACCAGAGGGTATAATTTATTCTTTCTCTCTGATATACAAAGATGAATAAAGCAAGAAAGATTGACTTGCTTTCCCTAGGCCACAGGGGTTCAGTTTGTTCAATTTCCACAGCGTAATGAGATACAAGGTAGACATACATTCATTTGTTTCCAAATAAAATGTCTGTAATAATTGGTTATTCTCCAATTTTCTCCAATTTTTTTTTTTTTTTTTTTTTTTTTTTTTTTTTAAACGGAGAGAATTTACATAGCAATTTGTCTGGTTAAGTTTACAGAGAAGACCAGGCAAAAACAGAGACCAGGTCCCTCATATCTAGTCAGGGACAAAGCCTTACTGGTCTGTAGGCAAATCCCCACCTATTCTTTCTTCATTTAAATCCTTACCCAGCACCTACTTCCACAATGCTGCAAACATCATCTCTGTGTTAAGTTTCACCTATTTGCAGGAGTCACTCACCTGCTCATTAATACAAAAGGGAAAGTCCTGGAACTAGAGGAACAGACACAGAACTGTTGGTTGCATTGGATCGAGGGAATGCACAAAGGATTTCAGGGCAGAAATAAGGGCATTCACACATAAAACCAAGAGGGCACCTCTTAGAAGATGCTGTCACACCTCAGGCATTTTTCTGGCCCTCTTTCTCACACCTTTGGAGGGGGGTGGGTGGGACACACCCTTTGTCAAGGCCCGGACTGACCACTCTGAAGAAGCACTCCCACCCAGATTGCACCGTTCAGTGGAGAAGCCACCTACTCCTCAGCCAACATCCCAGCAACGGCCAGCCACTCGGCCTCCCCTCTACAGTCTTCTAAAAAATGGACTTCATTTGGCAACTCAAAGCCTTTAAAACCTCCAAAACTCCAGCCAAATCTTGGATTATAGCATATATTTTCCCTGTAGTTTCTACAAGGCAAAGGGCATCTCTTGCCCTTCTCTCCTGTGCAGAATTTCCCTCCTCTTGTTCACACATATCTCTATCAATCGGCCCTCGCTCTCTGGCACAAGCCACATGGACGACAGCCACAAGCAGCTGAACTCCATAACAATCCCTTTCTCATCAAATCCACACAAGCCTCTGAAGGTTCACCCCACACTGTGGAAGTGGAGTGGGACACACTTCTGTTTAAACCTAACAGCACTGCTCCTTCAACCATAAAAAGGAAAGCAGAATCACCTCCCGCGCATTCCAAACAGCATCCTTTACGTACTGCAAAGATATCCTAGAGAAAGTTGAAAATCCAGAAAGATTTTGACAGCATTTTGTTTCTGCTAACACCTGAACAAGCTATCTATTTGCTGGGCTTTCTGAGCAGCAGCAAAAACACTTGCTCTAGTGACAGAACTCGCAGGGACTTGTCACTTGAAAGAGACTTTCTCATCAGCTCACTAGGAAAGACTACAAGGCGGGGAGAGCAGAGAGGGAAATGCCATACACTAGTAGGCAAAATTGTTTAAGGAAAGAGGAAGCAAGAAGTTTGCGTGACTGAGATCACTGGAGTACTCCTTGCCTGCCAGCCAGATGCACCCCACGTGTCCACCCTTCCTGCCCAAGGGACACACCAGGTTGTGAGCAGCTCCCTTCCCATGGCCTAGAACACTCCTACATCACTGCCATTCAGGGTATGCCTCTTTTTTCTTAGCATGGAGTACCTGGAGGACTCACTGGGAGACCATGAAGATCTGCAAAACACACTCAGCATTTTAACATAAATGATCTTTTCATACAAAGGGTACTCCAGTATTGGCCTGCTTTTCAAAATGCAGAAAAGCACAGAGCCACAAATGGATACTTGTTTTTTCAATGGAAGTGTGTCTATACAGAAACAGCTACAGAAAGCTCCTCAACACATCTGAAAAGCATTCAGTGGTTTAGTGCTAAGGACTGGACTAAAATGTGTCAGTTGTGTGCAGTTTTTGCACACACCTCATCAAAAAGAAACACAGGTCACGTACCTTTTGCAGCAGCAGACACAGAACCAGACAAGCCCCACCATGACCACAATCAATATAAAAATAAATACAGTCACATAGAGTATACTCCACTCTGAAAAAAGAAACAACAGTGCTTTGTAAAGTAATATGAACAGGATAATTTCTAATACAACTCTATTAAAATAACCAATCCTGAGAAATAGGAAGTGGCAGCAGGAACTTAGGAAAACTTACCACCTTCGTATTCTTAGAAGAATCCCTAAAAATTCAAGCTTTCAGATTGAAAGTGCACATTTGAAAATTTTCTTCCACTCCAATACCTTTTACCACCCCAAGACACCTGAAGTCTACGTGGGAACTGAAAGTCAAGAGGGCACGGTCAGCACCTCAGTCATCATTCTCTAAATAAAATAAACATAGGTGTACTCTGGGTCTGGCATTTTACTAATGCTTTAAAAGAGCAGCTGATTAGAGATAGATCCTTCTACTTGCACACTTACATTTGCAAATCCAGGAAAACATGAGAATACAGAGAGATGTGATGAGATGAGAATACAGAGAATACAGAGAGCTGTGCAATAATGTGAACTCCAACACGTGTAGGCTCGCCACGCCAGTGTGACTGTTACACTATGGAACAAGACAGCGTTAGGGCAGGGCTGCAGGAGGTCCCAGCCTCATACATACTGTCCCATTCTGGTTAGACAATTTATCTTCACTTACTAACAGACAGACACATAGCCCACGGCTACTTAGTGGCTTGTAGCAAGCTCCTTCTAAATTTCTATGGATTTACCTGAAGACTAGCGCATTGCTCAGCAAATGTCTCCAAGCCTGCACAGTACTAGGAGCTGAGCTTTATTTCAACTTCAGCAGAAGACAAATTTTGTTAAATTAAAACTATTAAATATTTGAAATAGAGAGGCTTAGCTAATACATTAAGTGTGCCACAGAATATAGACATGATTAAGCTGGTAAAACAAAATTGCATTTCCCAGGTGCAATAGGCAAACTGAAAGAAACAGTGAAATTAACCATGCTTAAAGAGATGAGGCTTTAAAGGTGACTGTATTGCTCAGTCCAGAACACCGGTGTTTTCTGTCCCTAGGTCAGATCATACTTCTGGCACAGAAGCATCAACCACCCACTCAGAGGATCTAATTTGTTACCCTTTTTTCAGCTTTGCAACAATCAGATGACTGCTACTCAAAAGCTTTGCAATGCCCACCCTATTCAAAAACCCTTCCAAATGGCCCCAGACTGCTGCAAGATCTCTCTCCCATGACTAAGTCTTCATGCTTTTTTCCTCGAAGAGTGATACTTTTTAAAAGATGAACTTTTACAATATTTAAAATGTAGGCTACTACTGTCAGGACATTATCATTTTAAGACGTTAGTCAAATATCTCTCTACAGAAAAATATTGCTGGGCTGGAAAAATAAAGAGACGGTTTTAGTCTTTCCTCAGCATCTACCCCCTAAGTACTCCTCATTCTGACAGCATTCGTCTCACAAGATGACGAGTTACTCTTGAAATATATCCCGCAACACCCAAACTCACCGCAATTACTCTCTCCATCATTTAGATAACGATGAATCAAGTTTTCCATCCAGAGCTGGTAGCAAACGCAACGCTTTGTTATAGGGTCACAGTGTCCATGTCCAGAGCATTTTAAAAGACAGGCTAAGAACAAAACCAAACATAGGGTCAGTTGTGTAAATGGACAACTTGCCATGCATCGTCTTACTGTGAGACTAGATTGATGGTAAAGCATCTAAGTTTATAAACACACTGATATTTTTTTTAAATCTCCCTTTCCTTTGGTGTTACGTGTTAAACAGATTTAAAGTTTGCTGCTGGTTGTGAAGAGGAAGATAAGAATATATCTTATGCAAACAATACTGAAATTGTATGCAAGTCAATAATAGTTTATTCTAATCAGAAATAAAGATGTGCTGAAGTTGTGGAATTTGGACCTGCTCCTTTCTTTATGACCTATTTGTAAGAACTTCCAAAGTACCCAAGAACTGAGGAATACCAGTGTTCTCAGGTACTAGAACACAAGCATCACACCAAAACTAGAGTTTCTTTCAGTATTTCAAAACTGAATTACAGCATCTGGGGCCAGAATATTTACATACCTCACAGGCTTACAGCTATTGCTGGATCTATGTACCATAGCAGACTAAAATAAAAACTAATTCCCCTTAAAACTTATGGTAGCAGATTTGCTATGTCAAGAGAAATGTTAACGTATATTTTCAAGTGACATCTATGCATTTTGGTAATCCAAATACATTTACAATAGGACAGTCCTTTTCAACAGGTAAATAAAAGAGAATTTACTACAGAATCAATGACTATTTTATAGCCCGGGCTTCTCACTTTGTTTGCATTTGGATCATTATGTCCTGATTTTAAACGATGGAGACGTCATACCTGTAATATCCAAGTATCATAAAGGGTTCACATTACTAGTGAAGCTTGAAATAGGCTTAGAAACTCAAGCATCTTTTTGGGGAAAAGAAAAAGTTCATTATAAGAAACCCCAGCAGACTGCCTACATTGCAAATATTAGAAGACGAGGTCATAACACAGCAATCACCTGAGCATTTCATCCGATACAGATATAAGCAAATTACATTACAAGCCTACTACTGAACACTAAAAGCCTTGAAGGAACCAGGGACATGACATGAAACATTCTATATTATGGCTGTATTAAGTTTTGCCCCATCTTCCAAAAAAAAAATAATCATAGGAGTAGGGTATTTTATCCTCGTTCCCCAGGCCTTCCTGACAAAGACCAGATTAAGATGTGCTTTTGCCTGCTGTTACAGATGATGTCTTCTAAAAGAACACAAGTAACTGGCACTAGTCTACTACAACAGCACAAGCATTTTAAGTATTGTCTTCAACGTCATCTTTTGGAAACCTACACGGAAGCCCAGACACCAAATGGCAGAGAGAAGGCCTTCATGCACTGTTTCCAGGCTGCTCTGTTAGCCAAATGCCTGCAAAGTTCCAAGATGAGCAAGCATGATCCAAAACATACCAGCCGTGTCAACCCGCAGGACTTTAAAAAGCAGAAAGTCAGCCTTCTCTTTCAAAAGCTGAACATGCAGAGTTCGTGAGACATCTGATGCCTTGATCACCCTGGAAGGATGCCCGTTCTGCACGTAGAACACAACCGCGGTACTGCAGAAAGAACAGCTAAGGTCATAATGCTGTTAAACATTACTTTTGTCAGGAATTCAGTTCACAGCCTTTGGTTTTGTTTGTGGAAAGCAAACAGCACCATTCATAAACATTAGGGATCTCTGTCTACGGATCAGTCAACTCCATTCAAACGTCACTCTGAGCCAGGAGCACCAGCAGTTCTCTGGCTTCTCAGTTTCATAGAAGAAATGTGAGGACCAATGGAAATATAACCCCCTCCTTGGTCTTCCTGACTCTTGCTTTAGGAAAAGTTATGTATACATCTGCTTTTCTTATTTAGGACCTGTCACAAAGCACTCTGAAGCAGTTTGAGTCACTTTAGGAAATCGAATTTAAGAGGAAGAAAAGCTCAGAAACAGGGGAGCCCTCCCCCTGCCTTTTTTTTTTTTTTAAGTTGGGTGGTGTTGAACTCATCTCATTGCACTTCAGGGAACATCTCTACCTGAAAGGCAGTAATTGGAAGCTGTGATTAGAAAACATCATAGCTATAAATGCTAGATTTTCCAAACTGTTTGTTTTTAAATTTTAAGAGTTTCCCAGAGAGCTAAACAGACACCAAAATGGGTTTTAAATTACTAAGCTGTTAACAAGAAGTAATTTAAAGATAACTCATGTCAACAAGTTCTACCAATCATGCTGAGAAGTTTCTCTGGGTACGCACAGGCATCTCTAGCCCTCTGCACCAAGCAAAGGGGGTATTTCTACTTCAGAGTAAGATACCACACTTCGGAAAATCCACTGTGTAGTTTTCTTAAAAAAAAAAAAAAAAAGAATTTTCCTCACCAGTTACCTGGGAAAATATTTATAAAATACTTAGAATATCAAAACCTTAGAGAGAAAGTAGAAGAAAAGGGGAACAAAACAGGTTTGATCAGATACAGTTGGAACCTTATTTTGAAATACAATACTTGCTTCACTGTGAGAAAGTCTGTCTCACTCCAGCCAGCATTTGGGAAAAATAACAGCTCTGAAATACATGCACACACAATCTTTAAAGGAATAAATAAAAAAAGTCTATGAGAATTTTTTTTTTTTT